GACATGTACCGAATATGGGTGAAATCGGTTCACAACCACGCCTGAAATCTCGATTATCCCTTTATCATGCGAGAGTATAAAATGTTCGGTGACACCCGATCTTAGCCCTTCCTTACTTGTTATTGTTACAAACATACAATATTAAGTGGTCGCTTGGAAGCTCCAATTGGCGCCACGTAGCGAAAAGAAGAAACGATTGGCGCGCTGTTGTCAACTCGGCTATAATCGCGTAGAAGAGTATAACAAGAAAAAATCACATGGTATCTTTACATCTTTTTATTGGCGTAGACGCGCTTATTTACTTAATTTTATGAAATTCTGAAGAGTGCACTATTTGTGATGTTTACATCTTGATTAAGTGGCGATGAAAGTGCGGTAAGACAAAACTCTATCAAATGTCGGAAATTTTATGGAAAAAAGATGAAACAACTAAGGATATGCAATTCTTCGATTATTGGTATGTACATACATATGTCGACCTTTCTGCTTTATCAAGATGAAGTGTGGTTTTTGATCAAAGAATGACAGTAAGAGCAGAGTTCTGTGCTGTTGAATGAATATTTTCAATACATACCAAAGTTCTCACGTCTACACCTTCCCGACGAAGCGTTTCATTACTCTGTCCACTGCATAAAGAGAAAACCGGCTGCTTTATATTGTGCTTCTTTATATAGTACAACATGGACTTTACCGGATGCATAATGTCATTCTAGTTGAAGTAAATAAACAAGCAAATTTATTAGCAAAAATATGCACATATTTAAGAAAATTTTTTTTTTTTTTTTTTTTTCAACTAAATCACTGACTGTTGACATTTTTCTCATTAATACATAGTTTTCACTTGAACACCAACACCAAACCAGATGTTTATTATCCGCACTGTAAGACGATATATCTCACACAAAAATACAAAAAAACACACACAACAACAGTGCGATTTACCGCTTGAAAATCCTTCACTCCGATCCTGGTGAACTTATTTACATATTCTTCATCCAAGCGCACACTGTTATTGGACACAAAGCGCACTTGCTTGCCATCATTCTTCAGCGCATTCACCGCTTCACCCGTCCGAGGGAGCGAAGCAGAAACCATCCACATAACACCGTCACAATCACACAACACTACATCGAAGGAGTTGACGAACTCCCTCTGCTCCTCAGCCGAGAGCTTCAAAATATGCGATACTTTGCGGGCAGACATGATCGTGACGTTAGTGTATGGTGTGGCTCGGACAAGTTCTCACTAAACTATTCTTCGCCATATTCAGTTTATTTATACTCGAACTCATTTGACTCATGTGTATGCATTCATACCTTTGATTAGTTTCATTGTGCTGAGCTCATTAGAGCTGAGCGTAACTAATTAACACTGCTGAACAAAAATATTTCTGAATTTAGCTTTAGACCTTAGTCATTTAGTACTGTATAGTTCAACTATTTCCAAAGGTTTCGTTTATCTTCTTTTATTGTAATAAACTTAAAAAGTCATTTAAATTAGTGTGATGCCCTCATATTTTCGTGAATTTTTTTGTCAAAAATATCTTATTTAAAAAAAAAATTCAAATCCATTTTTATATATTTTATTTATTTACTTAAGGATCGCTCTGCATAAGAATGAATTTAGTTCATCCAATGAAAATTGTAGGGAAACTACAAAAAAGTTGACAATTTATCTTTAATTTTAATCTTCATATCGACTCAAATTTAAAAGCTCTCAGATCTAAAGCATGTGAGATACTAAACTAGTTTTACTACTTTGGTAAAGTCTATACGGGAATTTGGTTCAATGTTAGAATGAAATCTAGCTATAATTCCATTCCATTAGAGTCCATATAAATGGAATTACTACTTAGTTGTTAAATATTCCTCCATTCACTATCTGATTTATTAGATTCTCTTTGTAGCATTAAATAAACTATACTAATTTCTGCTGAGACACATTTTTTAGCTAAATTTTTTCTAGCTTTCTTTCACCCCTCCCGTCAGTTGAACGGAAAGAGAGTAACCATTATCCAATCAGCTGTTATAGTAAATGTAGACTATTCAACAATTACTTTGTATATACATACATATACATTATTTACTCTCTTTAACTGTTCTGTCCGCCAAACCTTGGAGAGAGACGAATCGAGAAAACAAACTTCTTTTTTATTAGTAATACAAATAGTAATCGCATAAACAGAAAGAGATATAAAAACAACGAGTAATTGAGATATCGCTAAACTTTTTTTTGTTGTATCAGATGTAAATTTTTGTTAGGATTGTAATGCCTACACTTAGACAAGAATTTGTGAATGGAATGCTACGCATACATATCATATATACACATGTGTGAGCCAAACTAAAAAATATCAAAATATATATATTTTTTTTTTTGGATACCGTGAAAGCATTGTCTACAATGACGAAAAAATTGCGATAAATCGAGTTTATTATGAGTTTTGATTTTCCATATATGTAAATGACACAGGTTAGATGACCATAGGTTGGATTATACTGGCTTGCTATCACATACACTTACAGGTCTTTAGTAATGCCAGATGGAGGTTCAGTTTAATTTAAGGTGAAGGATTCATCTACCGGACGTCAACGCATTTTTTAACTTTAACAGCGGCAGACATCAAACGTTTGATACTTCCTCTAGTCCCTTGAACTTCGAAGCTCCTAGAAACTTAAAACGAGTTCTAGATAGTGCTGAATACAAGCATGGGAGGTGTTCCAGCGTCTCTCTTTTATCCACTTCTCTGCAGTTTCTAGATGTATCGTCAACACTTATGTCCATCCCAATATCATGTGATGCCAGTAGGATTTGACCAGTCAAGAGAAAAATACCGTCCATACAAGAGGATTTAAACGGTTCATTGATTGTCCGAAGTATTTTGCCTTTCGTTATGATGTCTGTAGGGACGTACTCTACGCTATTTTTTACATGTTGGAGATCTATAGGGTCTGTACATCATAGAAAATGAGTGTTGACCAGGTCTACCAGTGATTCCTTACATTTTTGGCGGTTGTCTTTTCTAACTTACCGAAGAAGCTCTACCACGACTCCCTATTGGTTTTACGAATTTCGTTTTTGTATTCTTTAAGTACAACTTTGTAATTCCCCCAGCAGATATTTTCACCGGCTAGCTTGGCTAGTTTGAAGGGTTCCTTGCCACTACGCCTGAGTGATTCGGGCATCTTCTTCCACCAAGGTGGCCTCGATTCACCCTTTGCAAGCATTGAAGGGAACGCTCCATACGCTTTTTTGATAACATAAGTGGGTGTGACTGTCCGTTCTTCTAGTTCAGAGATTAAATCACATTTTTCTAGTCCACTTTAATTCTTTATCACTAACTTCCCTCTTTCCCTTCAAAATGCAATATTTTATCAACAGACGAAGATCCTTTTTAACCTTTTTTTTTTTCAAAATAATAAAAGTCGTTTCACTCGAAATGATATAATTCATAAACTAATGATCCGATAGCTGTTAACTTTACACACACGCTTTCTGAAAGTTAGGGCTAACTAAAATCATAGTAAGACCATCTATGCGTCAGGTCGGGGACCAGTATTACGGAGGGTAAAGGGCTCAATAGATTAGACTTTTCTGATCCACTTTGAGCCAAAAGGTTCTCGTGAGCACTGAAGAGTATACTTTTTTAGTATAGAGGAAGTGGAGTCAAAATACGTACGTTCTGGTCGCCATAAAATGTATCTACAATAGACGCAGTAAACGCAGTATTTTAAATCAATATATAACAATGTGTGTATATGAACTTATGACTACTACATATAAATATCTGTTTATTCAGCGGACACGTGACATAATTTACTGATCTAAATCTTGGTGGAGCACATAAAGAATGTACCCGACGAATTTAAGACAGTGTTATGTTTAGGCTTTTTGGTTGGAAAAATATAATATGTATTTAAGTTAAAAAAGAGATACAAATTAATTAAGAATTTATTAAAAAGAGCTTAGTAAATTTTCATATTTTTTAAAAACAACAACAGGCAAATAAAATTCTGTGAAAAATTTTAGATTTTTGCGTGCCTTACGATTTCTTACTCTAAGTTCATGATTTTTGCGGCCTTAACGCAATATCACTTTAGTAAAAGATTCAGATATTCTAGGAAGAGCCTCGCACTGACCCGCTTCGTACGCAAAACAATAACCAAACTGGTTGAGTTGATCCTTAAGAGATATTGAGATTCACTACTATCTCTTGATGCCAATAATTCGAGGTTCAAGCACTGTGTCTTGTAACTTTTTCGATGTTATCGTCATTAACAAAGGTAGACGGACAACTCGCTTGTGACAAGTTTTCGATGTCTTCACGGCCTTCATGAATCCTTTATACCACTCAAACAGCTGTGTTCGTGAAAATGTCCGAAAGTGAGAGTCCGATTTCTTACCAAATTTTCAAGCTGCCAAACACACACTAATTGACAAAGTTAAAATCGAACTTCACACCAACATATAGTACAAAAAGATTATATCAATGTTCGCGAAGTTTATATTACTCAGTCCGGGACAATTTTGATCACATATTATAATTTCATATTATTTAAATACATTTTCACAAAGAAGTCTTAAGCAGTAGCTTTCCGGATAATCCAATGAATGCATTAAAATTTCAAATTAATAAAAAAAATATTTTCAATCGCACAATATTATCCAACAAAAATAAAATTTATGGTACAAATATTAAATTTTTAAGCATTTTTACTTATATTAGCATATAATTTTACAAAATCGGCCATGCTATCCGCATAAAAATGAGGCTGATCCTCCGCTTTTGCTTGCCACATTTGCTCTATGGGTGTGCTGCCGCTCAATACGAGCAAGGTTTGGAAACCACAATTCAGACCGAAGCGCACATCGTGCGTCAGAGAATCGCCCACAAACAGACAACGCTTGGGATCGGCCAATTTGTAGATGTTTTTCAAAATTTCTCCAAGCAAAACTGCCGGTTTACTAATTATTATCGGTTCCCGTCCTGTAAAGCGTTTAAGTGTGTCGAGGATATCGCAAAATCCTATAAGCAAATATAAAATTGATTAAATGTAAATCCCCAAGACAAATATACAAAATAAATCTTATAAACAAATATAAAATCGGTGTAATTATACATATATGCGGGTGGCTGCGAAACATACCCGGTAAGGTTAGATCTTTCGTCATCGGCAATAACCAATCAGTACCACCGGCAATAAACTGACAATCCTTGTCTGCTAGATATCGTGTAGCCGCCGCAATTTGCGGATAAGTTAAATCTAATTTGATATCATACAAAACAGCGCCCATTCTTGCTTCCGGCTCTGTGATTCTTCCCAAATTATCTGGTGTAATTTCTTCAGTGGTGTCCTTAAGGAATGAAAAAGAGTCAAAAGTTTTAGAAACTAACATAATAACTAACAAGTTTACAGAATTTTTATTTTTCTAAATTGTTCATTCATATTAGTAATTTACTGTATCTTGATAAGGACTTGGTACTTTTCTATTCTGACATCACATCTACATATCACAGCTTATGCAAGTATGAACATTTTTATGATATTCTGAAGAGCACATTTTTAACGGTGACAGATGTGTACATTTTGATTAGTTTCACTCAAGCGCTGTAAAACAAATACAAATCAAATAGAAATCAAGTGTGACAATGTCACGAAAGAGACGAATTAAGTATCTAAAGACATAAATTTGAACGAAGTCTTTATCAACATTAGATAGTAAACATGATAACCAAACTATTTTGTATAAACTTGTGACATTGAAAGCCGCAAAACACGAAATTAACGGTTCACTCAGATTTACTATATTGGACGAGGCGGGTTTAGAGGCCCGCAGAAGTGGGGTCACAAGTACTAAATGCAGCTTATGACTGATTGCATGCAGATCATTACGAAGGTATGAGCATTGCTCAACCGGCCTCCCGACGTAATACTTGACAGTGGTTGCCCGCGTAGACCGGAACGTGACGATAGGAAGTTTAGTTCGGATTCCATACATATGCTTGTAGTTCGACACTGACATGGATCATGTTTTGTTCATTTATAGTTTATTTATAACTCCTAAACTAATAGTTACATATATATGTATATACATATATATGAAATATCGAAACGTGTCTTACAGTGTGAAAATAACCGAAATCGTACTACAAGAATGGTTCCAAAGTAAACAGTACTTTCATTAATTAAAAACGTTTCGGTAAAATTTTTATCAATTTCAAAACGAAATTA